ATCAAGTACATCCATGCATATATCTTACACACACACACACACACACACACACACACACACACACACACACACACACACACACACACACACACACACACACACACACACATATTCAGTACCCCAAATAAAGTCTATTGTATCCCACTCTTGATAAAATATATCCATTAGGTTCATTTTAATACCATAACCATAATTACCTTTTCTCTTAGTGTGGAGAGGATGTGACAAAAGGTTGCTTTGTGGTTGTTCCACGACAAGGAGAGCATTCCATCCGTCATCTTGAAATATTTTTTTTTGTGCCTGTGGGAAAAATGAAAAAAATAAGTAAAGATTATGTATCACACACACAAACAGCATAATGCTATTACTACTGTTTTATGGATACAATAATACTATTAAAGCTAAGTGAAAAGAAAAGAGAATGAAAATAATAATAGAAAAAATAAAAAGAACGGCAATAGCACATGTTATAGTAATAATGATGATTATAATAATAATACAAGAGTTATAACGATTGCCATTCTGACAATAACAATTTATTGCACAAGGCACTAGTATGTCAGCAGGGCATCTATTCTTGGCAATACTGCATATCTATAATACTCTCTTTATATTCTAAAATTTTCTAAATTACAAAGAATCAAGCAAAATTTTTCTTATCCATCCTTCCCATAATCCACCTTTTCCCATAGGTATTCCCGAGCCCACTGGATAGGGAAGTGAGGAGGGTGCTAACATGGAGATCAATTATTTGTCAAGGATACGAATAGCTGATTCCTTCAATCACATCATGATATTTGGCCACCATATAGCAACAATATAGCAGTGGTAATTAGTGTCATAGCACAAAGTGAGGATTGTAGCCTCCCTGCCCGCAGCACATTCTATAGACTCTCCTTACAATATCCCTTAAGGTACATAAGTCGTCCAAACTCAGTCTTTCAAAAATATGCGCTGCTTGCCTTGCCTGAAGTGCAGTAGGCAATGCCCCACTGTCATAATGCACTGCCATTATATAGCCCCTTTAATGGCCAAAAGAGATTGGAAAAAAAAAAAAAAAAATTCAGTTTCCATGACATCAGCATATTTTATCATTGCTTTAATCTGTTAATTGATTTAATCTGAATTACTGGGCCTATGGCTATAACTATTCAAATAACTATAGTGACATGTCAATACCAGTAATTGTATATAGAATTAAGGAATTGGTTATAATATTAATGCTACTATTAATAATGCTGTCAGGTGCAATAATAACAATCATAATCATAACAATAATAATAACAATAATAATAATAATAACAATAATAATAATAATGATAATAATAATAACAACAACAGCAACAAAACAACAACAATAATAACAATAATAATAATATTATTATTACTAATAACAACAATAAAAACTAATAAAAATAACAACTATAATAATAACAATAATAATAATAATAACAATAAAAATAATAAATTGATAATAATAATAAAAACAATATAATAATAATAATAATAATAATAATAATAACAAAAACAATATTAATAATGACAATAAGAAAATGACAATCATGGCAATGGTGATGATCATAAAAAATAATAATTAAATTAATAATGACAATGATAATATTAGGAATATAAATAAATGGTTAAAAATTAAAAGAACAAAGAACAAGAGATGACTAAAACGTTAAATAATCCCCACTTGTTCTTTCTTCCAATTCTTTATTACATCTTTATTCCTTAGAAATCTTCCTTCCTTTCTTTGCTTTCTCTTTATCCCTTCCTCTGTGTCCGTCTACCCATCTCTCTCTCTCTCTTTCAATATTTCTTTCGTTCTGTTAATTCTCTTCAAAATCTTTAACAGGTTATTTATTACTTATTTCCTGTTTCTATAAACCTCTCTTTCCCTTTCTCGATCTCCGTTTCTTCCCAATTTCTCCATGTCTCTCTTTCTCTTTTCTCCTTCCCTCTCTCTCCCTCTCGCCTCTTCACGCTTCCTTTGTCTCCCATATTTCTCTTCTTTCTCTATACATACATCATTCTATAATAACAAAGAGGATAAATTCTACGATAAAATATATTAGGAAGAGAAGAGAAAGAGAGGAATGCCGACCCGTGCGACCAAAGAGGCAATAATAAGGGAAATATCGAAGGGAATAGGAGAAATAATTGATAAAATTGATGAAAAAGCACGAGAGTGTGAGAACCAAGGCGCGGCTCGTCTCACTCTCTCGGTCTCCCACTTCTTCGCAAATTCCTCCCTTTAGCCCTTGAGTCGCGGCCATTTCTCCCTCCTACCGACTTCCCCCTTATTTCCCTCGACCGAATAGTGCAGGAAATGACTCGGGAAAATACCTTCAGCGTCGCGAAATAAGGGAAGAAAGACGCCACGTTGGAAGGGCCCGAGACGCTCCGCCGATGCGCTGCGCAGAAGTTCCAATTGTCGCTTGGCTGTTCATTCTTTTATTTCTGTGTCTCTTGTCTCCCTTTTCGCTGGTCGGTCTTT